GGAGGGTGACAGTACATTTGCGGGTAAGTATCTTCTTCATTAATGCAGAGACAAATATTACAAAATACAAAGAAAATATAATATGAGAATACATTTTTATTATTTTGTTCATAATGAAATAATAATTTTATCATTGAAAATACAAAGAAAATGTGGTACTTGACTTTTCATTAATTGAGATAATATTTACTCACATTTGCCCAAGTTGATCACAAAAATATAATTTTTACCATATTTATTAAAGAGCTAATGGTTTTGTATATATTTTCCTTAGGGATGAAATTAGGTTGGGTAATTTGTCAGGGAGGTCAAAATTTGAATCATTTGACTTGACTTTATATGTTTATTAAAGTAAGGATGTGATCTGGTCCATTTAAAGAAAAATAATAATTTTTGAGATATAAAACTGCATTATTTTCTCACTTTCTCATCAAATTTGGAGCTCTCTTGTGTCCAAATAATATTGCTTCTAATGACATGTTATAGTAATAGTTTAGTGGAAGATTTATCAAGTTAATAAAGCCCAATTGAATCTTATAACTATTTGTTTCTCTTTATTGTCCTAGACTATAGTATGCATTTCATAATTTTTTTAAATTTCCAATGCCTCAATTTCCTTGTATTTCTCAGTCTTCTTTTTTAAAATAGTCATGCTGCTAAATGCTAATATAAGCTGGTATTGACTTGGAAGCTGTAACAAAACAAAGGGTGGGATAAAAATGATGTAATTTAATGAACACTTATATAATTAGAAGTTAGATTGTTTTGGAAAATATTATGAATTTAGAGATTAACCTTCAACATCAAGCAAATAATTGGAATGGGCACAAATATATTATATAATTAATGAGTGGTTGTTGTACAAAAACAACTTTCAATCAACTTTTAAATATAAAAATAAATAAAAAAAATAGGGTTATTTGTGAATGACAGAAGGGATTGCTTGTGCAACCACTCATCCTATGGATTCAATAGGTGGATCAAGCAAAACATAGTTGGTTAGACTTATAATAATGAATATCATATGTCGCATATTTTATATCTTATTGTATCATAGTTCAATTGAGAATAAATACATATTTAAAAGAAAATTCATAAAAACAAAAAATATATTTTTTTATATTTTTTGGTGGGATTTAATTAATTTGAGACAGAGGGGCAGAAATATTTAGGACAGACTATCCCGATGAGACTTATAATGCATGTGGAGAGATCTCTTCCCCTTCATCTTATCCTTCTTTGTGTGATCACTTTATTCCTTTTTTTTCTTTACATTGACAACATAATTTCTTTGCATCTAATCCTTTGATTTATCATCACAATCTTAGAACAAATTAAGGGAATGGATTATAACCTTGGACGCCAAGAAAATAACTAAATGTGCAATATAATATGACATGCAAATTAAGGTAATGAATTAAAACAGCCACTAATATCAGTATGATATGACTCCAATTTGATAAAATAAGATCAATTTTATAGCCAACCAATGTTGATCTAGCCAATAAGTTTTCAATTCAGATTTGTTAAAATATAAAATTGAATTTTGTTATTGGTGTGAGGATCTAGTTGATAAAGAGAGTTTAGAGGATAAATAATATATATATATATATATATATATATATATATATATATATATATATATGTATGTGTGAGAATAATTAAAAACTCGAATTGGTAATAGAAATAGATTACAATTTTATATTTACAACGTCAGATTATAAGAAATCAATCGAATCTCCCATAGGACGTAGATAATCTCTAAATGGGATGGGAATTTTATATTTACAACGTCAGATTATAAGAAATCAATCGAATCTCCCATAGGACGTAGATAATCTCTAAATGGGATGGGAATCACATGTCCTCATTCATGTCTTACTATCTGTAACAAGTCAATCAGAAGACTATATTCAATTTAAAAAAATAATAAAATTAGAAATTAATATTTTAATATTATTTTGTGTAGTTTGATTAGCTATAGATATAGAGACAGAAAAATTATGGGACAGAAGATCATTATCTTTATCATCCTTTATATTGTGTGCTATCATTAAAAGTTGAATAATATTATGATGGAAAAATTAACTGGGCAAATAAAAAAAATAGGCAAGGACAAACCAAAAAAATATGCAAAATGGAAGGAACTTTTGACTTTTGCGAGTTGAGATAATATAAGTCTTCATTTTATTGCAGATTATAACCAATTTGACGTTGTAGTTGGTCCTCTTGATTTTTTAAGTGTGGTCAAAGGAAGAAAAAAAACGAAAGAAAACGACTTCTTTGATTAATTCCACATAAAAAAAGAATAGGCCTTAACATAATAAATAGAGAAATTGAAAATCTCATTGCTGAAATTATAAAATAATATAATGGATGGCTATAGAAATCACTTGTCTCACTTGTTGATATTTGATTGGTTTGAGATATGAATACATGAATTTTTTTAAGCGAAGAATTCTTATTTATAATTAATGGAGTTTAGTAGAATTAATTATGTAAAGTTCCTAGCTAACAAAGCATCAATCACATATAGTTTTCAACCTTTAAGCCATGTATGTTTGGTGGCTTAGCACTTTAGATTTCAATATTGAAAGGTCATCATAGCTTGTAAAGCATTGCCTCTTTTAATTTTCGTGATATATATCTTTAAATGTAGAAATGGATTGTTTTTTTTGAGAAATTTGCAAACAGGAATATTTTGTGTGATTATGACTTGGATGGTATAAATTTAAGAAACTAAAAGGTGGCCTTCAAAAGTATTAATTATTTACCATCAAAAGTCTTGGATGTTAACATGTTGGTTTTTGTCGTATAAATTTCCATATTTTGCCAAAAATTATAACGATAAATGTTGTTCTGTGTGTGCATGCATTGAATTTAGCATGTGAACACCTTCTGAGGCATTCACTTGAGATATTATATTCCTTAATTTGTTTATAATAATCAGCACTATATTAGAGCATTTTTTAAGAGGAGCATGTGAAAACGTGCATGAAGAAGTTTAATATGCATATTTCATCCTATATTAGTGTTATACTTATTTACTTCCTGATTTGATTTCATCTTATTTCAATTAATATTTTGTTCAAGTATTTTTTGTTATTCTAATTATATTTTCCTATACATTTTCAATTCATCTTAACGTATCACCTTTTAATAGGCTACAAACACCATTTGTATCTAAGGAATTGTTTTGTCATTTTTAATATTAGTTCATTCTTTCATCACTCCATTTGACATCGTGCAACATTATTTTGAGGATGTATTATATTTTATATTTTATTATTTCTTAAATTATTTTAGCTTTGTGATTATATTTTGACATCATTTTTGCCTTTTCATAAATGCATTGAATAGAAATATGTGTAATATTTTTTTCCTTTTTTACATCTTATTTTACTAATTACCATCCTTATGATATGATTTGCTTTTTTACATCATGCAACATTATTTTGGGGATGTATTATATATTATATTTTATTATTTCTTGAATTATTTTAGCTTTCTTTTGGATGGTGACTATATTTTGACATCATTTTTGCCTTTTTACAAATGCATCGAGTAAAAATATGTGCAGTATCTTTTTTCTTTTTTAAATCTTATTTTACTAATTACCATCCTTATGTTATGATATGATTTGCATTTTTCTATGCAAAATAAAAAAATCATCTAACATATAATTAAATTAAACAAAATATTATATATTATGTAATATTTCTTTCGCCATCCTTCTTTCTCCTGTGATGCATAGATTTTCCTCTATTTGATGATTTTACTATTTTTCTGATTTATTTCTAGTTCCACATAAATTATCGAGTTTTAATATTTTTATAATAATTATAAGATTTGGCATGAGAAAAATTAGTGAGTGATAACATTTATATATCTAAACTCCTTATATATATTAATTATTTTTCTTCTAATTGATTGGACCTTGAATAATTAAATAAGGATGATATTAAACTTAATTGTGTTAACATACAAATAAAATCTGCCTCTATCATTTTAATTTAATATAAAAAATCAAACGATATTCAAATCATTTCTCCTTGAATGTTGGTAGTTGGTACAATATGTCAAGAGTAAATACATAGTGCTAAAAGGATGTGATGTGTATATCCAAATTTTGCAATAAAAGTGTCAATGTTAAGTATCAAAGATATATACACACATAACGTTAAGTCCTTTGTGATCTCATTTCCTGATTCGAAATGATCACATATTGTGATAAAATAACATTCTGATTGAGGGACATGAAACATAAAATAAAACATGTTTTAGTTCTGCTTTGCATTTAAACCAAATTATGTTATTTTTCAACCAGTTTTTGTTGACTGATGAGAAACTCTGCCACAAGATGATCGAGTACAATGTCGATCTAAGCCAAACAAATCAATAAAGCAAATACATTTAGCTTGAATGATACAATATCCAAACAATGATTAATGTGGAATGATTTGTCAGTGAATGCTTTCATTATTTCTGGGCATTTAACAATGACATAATCTTGCCTAACTCTGGCGTCTTAGCACTAAACAATTCGGAATTCCTCAAGCAAGCACATCCAAAAAAGTAAAATTCATCTTCTAATCCTTATTCGTAAGATGAAGCAATTTATTATATTATGATAAAGAAATATATGACATATTACTAACCCAACATCCTCTTTTTTTTGAAAATTGGGTCCTTAAGAAATAAAAAGGGCAATCTTGAAACGAAGAATCAAAATAAGAACACAATAAAAGACCAGTTATTTTACCAGAGGATTAAAACCATGGATCATAAGTTAGAAGGAAAAATAACAATAAAGTTGCCACCTAAATAGAATAGCAGCTGAATTAAAGAGCACTAATAAAAATCATTGTTTTAATTTGCATACAATCCGTAAATTTAAACACACCAAAATTTAAAACACTGCTGAGTGAAAACAAAATATGATTATTTTAAATCAACAAGTAAGAAAAAGTAAAATCAAAATCACAAAAAAGCAATATCCAAAGCCTCAGAAATGCAGAAATAACAGCAAGGCATTAAAAATGCCATTCAGTCCCGAAAGATGGTTAATATGTTATCTGATCTCATCATTGGCCACTAACTACATAAACACATGCTTACACAAAAAATAGTTACATCTAAAAAACATAAAAACATATCAAACTCTCAACCTCATTTTCAATATTTTAAATAAAAAACTATAGATGAAAATAAATAAATAAATAAATAAAAAGCCTCAGAATTGCAGAATGTAACAGCAAGGCAAATAAGCCATTCAGTCCCGAAAGATGGTATGAATATTAAGTGATATCATCATTGGCCAAAATTACAAAACGAAATAAAACAAAGGGTTTCAATAAATCAATGAAATAAGAGAAATAAGAGAAACAACAAAGGAGTGAGGAAGATAATGAAATATGATTCATTCTGAATACGATGCTGATTTATAAAGAGGACAGTTGCGGCGGAACATTGACAATGTCACAATTAGGTTTAAGGTTTTACATTTTCGTAGCATTGGGCTTTTTTGTTTCCACAAGTTAAGTTTTAAGCCCACGTTTTTTATGGTAAAAATAGAGAATTTTAATTTCTACTTAATTTCACCTCATTTAATCATCATTAATTGTTTTAAACATTCAACATTTTTTTAAAACATCACATTTAGTGATTTATTCTTCTATGAATAAATTTGTTAAAGGTTGAGATTCTCTAACAAAATAGAAAAACTCTTGGAAGTTGATATTAGAACATTACTTTTCATTTTGTCTTTTCTATTTTGTAAGAGTATGAATGTTTTATGAAGATCCACCATCTTCATCAATGTATTCTTATGATATTTTTATTGAAATAAGAGTATTTTTACTCATTGTAATGAGATTCTTTATTTTTTAAGAATATTCTTTACAAAAAGATTTTTGTGCTTATTCTTATACAAAAATGTGGGTCCAAATGCATTAAATGAGAGAAAAATAGTTAGTTATTATAATAAAATGTAAAAATGTATGATTGATTGTGTGACCCAAATAACAATAAGAATTATCTTATTCTTAATTTTGTTATAGTTATGTATCTTTCACATTAAAGACTTTTCAAAAAAACTCAAATAATGAAATCTTTGTCGAAAATAAGAAATGAGAAAATAAATCAAGTAATAAGAGCTTTTCATTTGATATTACTTTGTGAGTAAGTGAAAATCTCGTCCAATGAATTATTCTTATTTCACAATCTATTTTTTCATTTCGTCTTTTTCCTTCCATTTCCCTTATTCATTTTCATTTATTGTTAGGTTAGTCCTACCAAATAGTGGCCTAGATCATAAAGTATTTAAGGAAAAAGACGTAAATATGTGCTAATAATAGTGAATATTTAAAGAATAAATAAAGGGAAAAAAAAAGGATAAGATAGGGGTATAAGTATATATTTATCTCACTGAAAATATGAAAATATGTGAATTAGCTCAACTAGTGAAATTCTTTAGGCTGAACATGCTAATATGTAAAGAAGAAAATAAATCTCAATCTAGTAAGGTCCATCATAATCATCAGTTTAGCTAATCATCACCATTCACTCTGCCACACTGCAGTCAATCCCATCCAAATATAAAACCTTGAAGTAAGGATCTCGAACACAAAAATAAAAATAATGTGTTATGACATTTTTATCTTTTTTATTTATAATGACATTGCACTTCTACCGTTAAAAGCAAAGCAAAAATAAGAAGCCATTGTTGTTCAAAACTTTTTTCCCTTGTGTGTAGTTTTGCTGTTCTTAAATCTCAATTACAAAGTCTTCAATGCCATGCTAAACATGGAGGTGAAACCTGCCAAATAACTTTACCATATCAAACACACATTTATTCAATAAGAATATGTTGTTAACTGAGAATTGCTACTTGGCCAAGTCTCTTCTCAAAAGGCATGATAGGTTTACCTGAAAGTTAATGATATAATTGTTTTAGCAAAAGCAAAATGATACATGTAAAGATTATTTTTAACACAAATATAATTAGTTTCTTCATGCAAGTTTATAGATATTGAACTGTTTGTAGTAAACCTTTGAGTGAACCATGTGCTAGCTTTCACCTTAGCTAGTTAGCTAGAGGCTATACAACTCTCCTTGACAAGTACTTGAATCCCTTCTGGATGCAAATTGCGATTCTTCTCGGCTATAGAATCTTTTGGTGGAGAATTTTTCGATCGAGCAACGCGCTTGACACAATTCAAACGCAAGGATTTTGGTGTACTCCCTGAATTAATTCAGAACATTAATGATTAAATGTGTCAATTTTCCTCTCAGAATATTTTCTTCAACCAAAGAATAATCATTTACTCACCATAATCACCACCAGCTGTTAAATCTTCCTTTGTTATCAACTCTGCTGCAACCTGATGAGTGTCAGCTAGGTCATTGTTTGGACATGTCACATTTCGCGCAAGGCATTTAATATGACTTAGACGTAACCTTCTCGATGAATTCACTGGATTATGAGCTAGAGTTTCCAAATGACTTGATGATCCTATTGGTTACATTGCAGCACCAACAAATCAACGACAACAACAATAAACCCGTATATCCTTTAGTTTCAATATAAACGACAACAAACGACGTCATTATCTTTTATCATAAATTTTAGAATAACGAATAACATGTTTGTCCTTTATGCTGACAAGAAAAACTAACCTTCATCAACTTTGGTTCCAAAATTGAATGTTTCTAGTCCTTGGTTGATGCCATGTTGAGGAAGACATAAGACACTATAGTCCAATGAGGTAGAAGAAGTAACTGCTTGAAAGTCATCACTAGTACTGGCTTCACCTGCACTTGATTCTAGTAACTGATGTTGATGAGTAAGAGGAATGAATGAAGCATGAGCATTGGCAGCTCTCTGTCTTCGAAGCTGATAATTTCTTCGGCGTCTCGCTAAATGCATTTCCCTTTGTTCTTGAGTCATGGATTGTCTTCTTTGTCGATCCCGAATTCGCCTCCTCTCCCTTTCTTGCTCTCTCTGCATTGTCCTCAAATCTGCTCTCTCTCCAAACCCTTCCATCATATATACTAACCCTTCTAACCTCTCTTCTAAACACACACTATCAGTATTTTTTTATGCTATAAGTAATAATAATACTAATTGTTGATCTCAAAAATTGAGATTGTTCTTCTGAATATACACACACTGACACTCATTTCTTCCTAATCATTCAACCAAAACAACAAAAGAAAAAATTGAATCAAGATAAAATTGATGTCATTAGTCACATTCATATATATATGGATGGCATCATTAGCAAACAATTTTCTAAGAAAATGAAATTCATGAAAATCTGGCAGAGTCTATCACAATATAGCAAATTGCAGATAATAATCATGATAAATGAGAATTTAAACAATCCTGATTCTATAAACAAAAACCATAAATATCATAATTGAAATAACAAAAGGGCTATTATAAAATTGAGCATCAAAACAATTTCAAATTCTTTTTCTTCTCAGAAGCTAATACTTAAATTTAAATTTGTGAAATTGAAAACTTATATTTGTGAAATTGAGCAATGAAAAGTGGAAAAAGAAGACATTTTTTACCTGTTCACTACAGATCTGAGTACTGGAGAAACAGAGCGAAGCAATTTGTTTATGCACTTAAGGGAATTAAAAATGTAATGAACGATGATATAAAAATGGAAAAAAAATATTTTTTTATTAAATTTAATTAATACATTTATTGTTTTATTTTTGGGTTGAAATCTGCATGAGACAAATTTCATGGACTTCCCTTGCTTCTGCATTCCCATAAAAACGGTGGCTTCGAATTCTGAATCTGAAGCTATAAACAAGGTCCAATAACATGCATCATCTCTAATTTGTAATTGCTGATATTATTTTTCTTTATAATTTAGTAGCAAACCCAAAATATAAGGAATTTATTTAAGGAGTTTTAATATCATGTTTTATTTAGAACGGCATTTACGTTTTTAGGTGACCAGTTTTTAACATATGTTTATTTATTGTCATGGTGTATGTTTTTATTCCCAAATGATTTTTATCTATCTTAGAAAAATTGAAACAGTAAGCTCTAATGAGATTAACTTGCTAAGTGAATGTTAATTTGATTCCAAGTGAACTAATTTTGTAGTCGTTGGATTGAACGATCTGTAATCTCATCTGCAAAATGTTTATCGATTATTGTCTATATGTAAAAGTCGTGACTACGGAAAACGACTTCAACACAGTTTAAAAGTCGTGACTAGCTAAACTGACTTCTATTTGAAAATCGTGATCTCCCAAACCAATTTCTATCTGCATAATATGACAATGATTTTTATATATCATATTTGAATAGTGAGAATAGAAAAAGCAAGAGAATGAATACTATTAGATGTGTCACACCGAGATAAGATAAGACATGATATGCATAGATTGGAAGTGTTTTCTTTCGATTGACGTATATGTAATCATACGAAGAAACCAGTTAAAAAGTTGATATAAATACTTTAAGAGTTGACATAAGGAGATGTGATAGGATATGCATGAAAAACGATATGAATAAATGAATGGTCAACAAGTACAACTCATAGGTCACTAGGATAGGGTAAAGTATTTACGTTATTTGTATGTTGTAAGTTTGTCGCAATGATAACATTGCAAAGTTAAAACACTACCAAGATCTTCCATGCCAGAATTTACCATCATATTTGTTGAAAATGACGGGAAAAAAACTAATGTGACTAAGGTTCGAGCATTAATTTTTAATTCCTATATGATTTCTAATGGAATTTGATTGTGATGCACACCAAAGATGATTAATTTATAATAAATGATAGAAATATTCATAAAAATTTTTATAAGGGATTAAATCAAAGTAATTATAACTTATTTATTTTGTTAGATCGAGAAACTATTGCTGGCCACTAGTAAATAAAAAAAACGGGCTAGGTTAACCCATTTAATTCTACCGGTTAAATTATCATAATATGACCATTTTAAAACGAGCTAATAGGCAGATGGAGATCGTTTGTCCTATGACCCTGTCCATCTTCGTGTCCCATTTAATCAGATGTTGACACATGTAATAAATTTATGTAATTTTATATTTATCATTTCTGTTAAATAAATTTTCTCTCACCTCACCACATTCCTCATTTTCTCTCTCCTAAACAACACAAAGAGGAATCAAGTTTTGTGTTGTTTAGGAGAGAGAAAATGAGAAATGTGGTGAGGTGAGAGATAAATTTATTTCATATGTCAACATCTAATTGAATGGAACAGGAAGAGGGACAGGGTCATGGACAAACGATCCCCATCCCTAATAGGCAACCCATTTTAGAA